CAGATCATTTCTTTCGATTTTTTAGTAGAGACGGGGTCTCGCTCTTGCTCAGGCTGGTCTCCAACTCCTGACCTTGAGCGATCCTCCTGCCTTGGCCTCCCAGAGTGCTAGGATTACAGGCGTGAGCCACTGTGCCCGGCCACATTAGCTACTTTAAAGGTAGAATAGATTTGAAAGTGAGATTGGGTGACTATTCAATAGAGTTTGGGAAAAATAGGGAGATTGTTGCTTTTCCTTGTTTTTAAAAGATTCTGAGTAGTATTCTCAGTTTGAAAAGATGGACTTAATACAAGAAATTTATTCTGAATTATAAAAGTAACAATTTATAAAAGTATGATAAATTCATACTCTATAGTCTAGCAATTTTATTAATGTAAAGAATATGTAAAACACATAAATGGGATCATAATACACTTACATATTATTTAGCCTGTATTTTTGTTGGTATGTTAGTGTTTTTTGTCATTGTTGTTTTTTAAGAGACAGGGTCTCGCACTGTTGCCCAGGCTGGTGTGTAGTGGTGCAGTCATAGGTCACTGCAGCCTTGAACGCCTGGGATTGAGAGATCCTTCTCAGCCGGGCGCAGTGGCTCACGCCTGTAATCCTAGCACTCTGGGAGGCCGAGGTGGGAGGATCGCTCAAGGTCAGGAGTTGGAGACCAGCCTGAGCAAGAGCGAGGCCCTGTCTCTACTAAAAGTAGAAAGAAATTATCTGAACAACTTAAAAAATATATATAGAAAAAATTAGCTGGGCATGGTGGCGCATGCTTGTAGTCCCAGCTACTTGGGAGGCTGAGGCAGGAGGATCGCTTGAGCCCAGGAGTTTGAGGTTGCTGTGAGCTAAGCTGACGCTGGGCACTCTAGCCAGGGCAACAGAGCGAGACTGTGTCTCAAAAAAAAGGAGATCCTTCTCCCTCGGCCTCCCAAGTAGCTGGGACTACAGACACGTACCACCGCAACTGTCTATGTTAGTGTTTTTCTCATTCATTTTTGTGGATGTATGTGTATGTATGTATAGGGCATATTCAAATGTTTCTTCCAGTTTTATTTGTATTTTAATTTAAATTTCTATATATCAATAAACATTTCTAATTTTTATGTGGCAGTAAATCTTGTTTTTATTTCAGCTTGCTGTATCTTGAACCTTTTTTTCATTTGCCTTTTCAAAGATTTATTGCTTTGGTAAACAAGACCAGGCAACATCCGGTGTTTTGGGAATTTTCTTTTCCAGTATAATGAAGAATGTGAGGATAATATCAGTCTTGTAAAATTTGAGTGGAATAATTTTAAATTAGGGGTTATTAATCTGGGGTTCATAAAGTCAATGAAATCTCTGAAATTATATGTAAAGTTTAAATATATGTACATTTTTCTGGGGAAGTGTCTATAGCTTTCCAGACAGTCAGAGGAGTCTACGACTCAAAAAGTGGTTAAAAACCACTGCCATAAATGATTTTTTGGTTACTTACCTTTCTGTTGGTAGAAAATACACACAATTAAACTTTCCCTTGTTTTACTTTAGGCTTCCCTGAAATCTCATGAGAAATATTCAAGGGGGAAAATACAGTTTTCTTTTCCTTTCCTCTCTTCCCTGCCTCTGAAAAACACTAAAGTCTGTGGCTGTGCCGCCCTGAACGCGCCTGATCCCGTCTGAAAAACACTAAAGAATTCACTGTTTACTGCTTCCGTAGGAGTTTCTTTCAGTATTTTAGCTAATTGATTCTGTTTTCATAACCCCCAAATGAGTGTAAAAGCTGAGCATAGAAATTCACTGTGGAGTCTGAATTCTGAAACTGGAAAAGAACATCGGCAACAAATTTAAGCTTCTGCCCAGTTGAGAGGGTGGCTTCAGTTAGTTACAAATGGTTTTTCTTAGGACTTCTCAGGGAGCAACCTGAGGACTGAGGAGAGGGCCTGAAGTTCCTGGGGCAGCCAGGATCTGGGGATCCAGCTGGCTGCGTTGCTGCAGTGGAGAGTAGGGTGGAGAAGAAGGTGGCATTCATGCTCAGGAATTTGCCCAAGTTCCCTGCCTCTGAGATCCGACCAGGCCAGGGCGAGGATGTATGTGGGACTGACTGTGAAAGAGTGTTGCTGTGTTGGACTTGAACTTCTCTAGGGAGAATGGAAACTAAGCTTCAGCTCTCTAAGGAAGAGTCTGACCTCCCCTTCTCTCTTTTCATTGTCTTCTCTCCTTTTGTGCAGGTGGATGGAAGCATGCCTGGGGGAAGATCTGCCTCCCACCACAGAACTGGAGGAGGGACTTAGGAATGGGGTCTACCTTGCCAAACTAGGAAACTTCTTCTCTCCCAAAGTGGTGTCCCTGAAAAAAATCTACGATCGAGAGCAGACCAGATACAAGGTGAGTCCTTCCTTCCTTGGTGCTTAGATTTCTGTAAACTTGAGAGAGAAGGTTAGCATAATTTATTCTGTGTGAGAGTTATTGAGAAATGTTTAAGGTGTGTTTTTTCCAACAAAATATAGCCTTTAAAATTCCTGGCAGGATGGAGAAATTAGTGCAAAGGCAAGATATAGTAAAAAGAACTTGAGCTGTCTGTATTTCTGGTAGAATTCTTATGATGGTATATATCTAGCAGTTTTCATAGTCCTGGGGGGCGGAGGGGTGGGGGAAACAGTCCCCTGAGGTTTTCTTTTATTCTTTAGAAGGTAGAGGAGATAACTAGGGGAATTACTACTTTGAATCTAATTTTCACCAAGCACTGAGATTTGCTGGCAAATTGAAAGTAATAGCAACTTTAGGAAGAAACATCACTCTATGATATTGGAGTTCAAGGTTCAATGGGAAAGTGATCCAATTTCAGAAAATCGAGATAAGTGAAAGGATTTGATTCCTGTGGCCCAGAGTCCTAAAAAAAAAAAAAAAAAAAAAAAGATAGTGATGACTGCTTAGCTAAGTTGGGATGCTGACAGGACCAAATTCTTATGTCTACAGAACTCCTATAAGGAGCTTGCCTGTGAACTCTTATTTGAAAAAAAGATGAGTATAAAAGATAGTGGAGGACTACATAACCAGGAGCAAATGTAAGAGTGGTCTACTCTAAGAACTGGGCCCAAACTCCGAATGAGTAAGGCTGCAGATGTGTGAAAAGAGATTTGTCCTTTTTATGTTTAAGTTAAAAGGAAAATAAGGAAGAGGTAGGTCTTTAGCCAAAATTAACATCCTAAACAGATACTTTCCTTAATCAAAAGAGAAGACTTGAATGTTGAGCTTTAAATAAACAGTTATTCTGAAGACAACTCTGGAGTTGTTCTGTCGACAGAATAGCAAGATAGCAAAGGAAAGTGGAAACTTTGGCAGCAACAGTTAGTCTTTGTGCCCTCTCGAGAGTAAATCCTGCTCAAAAATAGCAGACATAGAGGTTTAGAAGCGGGTATTGCTATGTGTGGCATCTAAGTCCTGATTGACACATTTTATAATATCTGTCATTTTGTATCTTCCGTGTTCAGACACCACACTAATTACTTCCTGTGCACCATCTCATTTAATCTTTACAATAGTACATCAAATAGGTGTTCTAGATGGGGGAACACTGACTTTAAAAGGTGAAATGATTTGCCCAGTATCACCAGCGGATGGCCTAGTCGGGAATTGAATCCAAGATGATTTACCTCCAAAGCCCGTGTTCTGTGGAACATGCTGCACACAGGAAGGTTCTCCAGCTGGCTCTGAAGTGAGAGGAGCCGAGATGTGGATTTGGCTTGTTGGTATTGGAACGTGAGCACCCTGACCTCAAATTTAGGGAGATCTTCTAAAGCGTCACAAGGAAACTTCTAAAGTCTCACAAGGAGACTTTCTATTTAGTATTTGCTTCAATATAGCCACCAGTGCCTAATGGTCCTTTTATTTCTTCCAGGCAACGGGCCTCCACTTCAGACACACTGATAACGTGATTCAGTGGTTGAATGCCATGGATGACATTGGATTGCCTAAGGTAACTTACCTAATATTCATAGTTCTGGCTGTTTGGCGTAACAGTTCTCATTCTATCTGTAAGATTATTCTCAGACTCTTCGGTGATTTTTTTTTTTTTTTTTAAATACTAAAAGATCTCTTTCTTCTATTTCATTTAGGAAATAGTTTTGTTCTCTTTCTACTCTATTCCTCATACCTGTTTCACCTCACCCTGGAGAAATTCCTCATGATGATATTTACTTTTACTACATCACATTTTAGACTTATATCAAACTGTTTTTCCTTAGGTAGAATTCACATACTATTAGAGTTGCCATTTTAAAGTGTACACCTTCAGTGGTTTTTATTTATTCACAAAGTTGTTACATTAAAATTTGACTTTAGGAAACACAGGAAATATTTTGGAACTCTATAGAGAGTATGAAAGGTCATTTTATATTTCAAATAGTGGAGGTAATATAATGACATTTACTTCCTACGTATGTTTTTGGTGATGGTAGTTTTGATATGGGAGTTTGAATCCTCTGAGTGTTTGCTCAGGAGTATATTTAGTGCTGCTTTTAGTGAAATTGCCATTTCTAACTACCCAGTCCTACCATAAAGGCCATGCTCTATTGTCACTCTTGGAGGCATGGATTGATTGACTGATTTCTTTTTTTCTTTACATCATTTGACCTAAGAATTCCACTTATCCCCCAAAAAACCCAATCAGACACACACAAAAAGATGTATATAAAGGCATTGCTTATTTTTTTCTTTTTTTGAGACAGCGTCTTACTCTGTTGCCCAGGCTAGAGTACCATGGTGTCAACCTAGCTCACAGCAACCTCAAACTCCTGGGCTCAAGCGATCCTCCTGCCTCAGCCTCCCAAGTAGCTGGGACTACAGGCATGTGCCACCATGCCCAGCTAATTTTTTCTATATTTAGTTGTCCAGCTAATTTCTTTCTATTTTTAGTAGAGACGGGGTCTCGCTCTTGCTCAGGCTGGTCTCGAACTCCTGAGCTCAAACAATCCACCCGCCTCGGCTTCCCAGAGTGCTAGGATTACAGTCGTGAGCCACCACACCCAGCCAAGGCATTGCTTCTGATAGGACAAAAATTGATAGCAAAACTATGTATTTCTTCACGCAGGGTATTAATTGTTATAGCCAGTCAAATACTAGTGCCATTAAAAAGGTTATTAACCTATATAAACAAAGGAAGTTGTCTTTGATCTATTAAGTGGGGGAAAAAACCAGTTTAAGATTGTAAGAGTTTGTGTGGCTAAGATGAGATCACTTTTTTTGTGTAAAAATAGAGTGAATATTCTTGGGAAAAATCTGTAAAGAGATTTAGGGTTTTCATTGCTGTGTGATGGGATTAAGGGGTGATTTTTATTTTCTTTACACTTTTCCTGTAGAGTCCAAATTTGTGTAACCAAAGAAAGATTTTTAAAAAGGTGTAGAATATCAGAAGGTGGCTAAAAACCACTTGGATCCGAATATTTGGGATTTACATAGTGCCGAGCTCATTGTTGCATATATAGCTGTTGAAGTGAATACAGTCCAGAGCTGAGTCTTTGTGGAAGATTAGCCTTTGTCCTCTTTTTTTCAGAGCAAGTGCTGAAGTTCTCTTCCTTGCCACTGGTATGTTTGAGAATTAGGCCCCACAAATGTCAGGAAATGCAATATGTTGAGTTCTTACAGCTGCTTGGCCTTTCTGTGCACATGTAACTTCCTGTTCCTGTTTTTTATGCAGTATAAAACACTATATAGTATAAAATATTATACTATGCACCTGTAACTTCCTGTTCCTGTTTTTGATGTAGTATATTGCCAGTGGACAATGACAATTTAACCACTTTTGAACAGTACTAAGAGCTTTTTAATATTTGCTGTTGCTAGAAATCTTGTTACTACAAAATGCTTTTTTAATGATATAATTTTATTACATTTTTTTGTTTACTAACAGTAGTGTATTGTACTGGACCACAGTTACAACAAACATAGTATTTACTAAAGGCTTTCAGAGACAACATAGTAATCATGGTTATAAGCCTTGAACTGTCTACCCTACATGATTCGTTTTGAGAATATGAACTAAAGATATTTAGCCTAAAAATGTATTGTTGCCCATAATGTATGATATATAATTAACAATACATAGTGTTTATTGGGATGTCTTTTCTAATCTCTTTATATGGTACATACAGGCTAATTGTAGAAACTTAATGCAATAATTTTTTGGTTCTTTTTTTTAACTCTTTATTATAATTGGTACTGTTGGCTACCTTTTCCCTGAAATTTTTCTTTTTTTTTTTTTGGAGATGGAGTCTCTCTCTGTCACCTGGGCTAGAGTGCTGTGGCATCAGCCTAGCTCACAGCAACCTCAAAGTCCTGGGCTCAAGCGATTCTCCTGCCTCTGCCTCCCGAGTAGCTGGGATTACAGGCGTGTGTCACCACACCTGGCTGATTTTTCTGTTTTTAGTAGAGACGGGTCTTGCTCTTGCTCTTGCTCTTGCTCAGACTGGTCTCAAACTCCTGACCTCAAGCCATCCTCCTGCCTTGGCCTCCCAGAGTGCTAGGATTACAGGTGTGAGCCACTGTGCCCAGCCTATTTTCCCACTTTGATTTTGATTTTTAAAATTGTTTCTAATCTGCCATGCTAGTCCTGTTTTCTTCATTCTACCTTCCATATCCTAGTTATGGACATTCCTTAAGTTGCAGTCTTTATTTTAGATATTTTTCTCCCATTCTCATGGTTTCAGTTATTCTCAACACTCTTTGCTATAAGATAAACACAGTATCTTCAATTGGCTTCTGGACATTTCTCCTTGGATAGCTTTCTATAATATTACCTAGAATTTTTCATATCTAAAATTAAATCTATCTTTTCCCCAAGTGGACTTCCCCTCCTCTATAGTAAATGGTACCATGGCACCATTTTCTCAGTCATCCAGTCTCAAAACCCTGCAGATGCCTTCGACCTCTAAATCCAGTCATTTCCCAAGCCATCTCCACTTATTTGAAATATATTTTTTATCCATCCACTGTTATAGCAGCCTCCCAGCCTGCCTCCTCAGCTCTAATCTCATTATTCAGCATATCCTGTGTCCTGTCCAGTCAGATCTTCCTGAAGCTCTGTTTTTATCCCTAGCTCCAAAGCTAGGATACTTCTTTATGTCCTACTTATCAAGTTCAAACTAGTCTGACTTTCAAGGTGCTCATAATAATCTGATCTTATCCTAGCTACCCATGCTTATTTTTCTATTACTTTTTAGAAATGTATTTTTTACATTTTAAGGACCTCATTATTCAGTCTTTTACTTCTCCAATCCCCTGTTGCTCCTTATTTCCCTAAATTATAGATTAAATTGTGTGGTGTCACGTTATTATGAGAATAGGTCTTGAAATTCAAGGCTATTCCCAGTCTAAACCTACTCTGTTCCTATCCTGCCTCATTCATTAACTCATCACATACAGAGCTGCTTCCATGACCCTGGCTCTGGGCTTGGTATTGAGGGTATAGCAGTGGATAACATAGATCTAGTCCCTGCTTCCATGTGACTTGTAGTCTGTTGGAATAGCCAATCAGATAAACACAAATGATTGATTGTGGTAAGTGCTACCAAGGAAAAGTGCTCGTCTTCCACATTTCCATATACATCTGTCCTAGCTGCTTTATGTGTGTATCTTCCTATTTCCCACAAGCATTATAGCACATTTTACTATTTTATAGTTTTTTCAATGTCTAAATGTAGCAATTTGCCCAAACTAAAGCACTTAGTAAATGTTCATTGTTATTGCTCCATCTAGGCATGGTAGAGAGTAACTAGGAAGACTATGGTCCTTAAAGTGTTATACGCTTGCCACTGATTTAAACTGGACTGGAGCCTGTGTCTGGGTCTCAAATGAGTAAATCACCTTCACACACCTAGTGAAATTCAGTGGGTTGACCAAATAGGGATTTTCCAAGTAGTACTTTTCATTCTGTATTATAGCATTTTATCCCTTGAAATACTTACAATGAAATGTCTGTTCACCCTAATAAAGTTATTCGCTGAATGCCAACAATGTTTTCTAATTGTCCATCGTTTTATTTGTGTTATTGTTGATTGGTGAATGTCAAATGAACCCAGTGGACGGATACTTTACTTCTTTTGTTTCTCCCTAGATTTTTTACCCAGAAACTACAGATATCTATGATCGAAAGAACATGCCAAGATGTATCTACTGTATCCATGCACTCAGGTAATCAGATTTTCTTGGTCAAATAAGTAATTTAGGAATAACATCTGAATTGAGTGTATAGCTTTTTATCCGTGGTGTAAGATGAAAAAGTTGTTTTTTTTTTTTTTTTAATTAGTTTCAGAAGTTTCAAATAGAATACTGTTATCCTAACAAAATAGTGAAAAACAGCTGTGTTTTTTCTAGGGCATATAGAAAAGGAATTTATTTATTCCCATAATAGCAGATACTTTGGTTCTAAAACTATGGCATAATCTTTTGTTATTGATATAGGGTTTCTGTGAACTATGCATTTCACTTGGGGTTTGGTCTCTTTTCAGTAGTCATCTAGGTCCTTGCCATTATTAAGCCATTTGTTCATTCATTAAATAATTTTTATACCAACACAAATATGATAATAGGAACTGGAACAGTATAATTTTTCCCACAATTTTATGATACATTTGAAATATGACTTAATTTCAGGTCCCCAGAATCAACAAAGTACTAATCTGGAGGAAAAAGTGATATCTCCAGAGGGAGAGTGGGATGGGATGGAAATTGATGCTGATACAGGATGAGTATCTCTTATCCAAAATGCTTGGGATCAGAAATGTTTCAGATATGGGATTTTTTTCAGATTTTGGAATTTTTGCATTATACTTATTGGTTGAGCACCCCAAATCCGAACTCTGAAATGCTTCGATGAACATTTCCCTTGAGCGTCAAGTTGGCGCCTCAAAAAATTTCAGATTTTGGAGCATTTCGGATTTTGGATTTTAAGATTTGGGTGCTCAACCTGCAGTGTGCTATAGAAGTATAGTATTTCAGCACATATATTTGGCCATAGGACTAAAGGAGAAGATGGCAGAAGAGTAGGATATGAATGAGATTTCTTTGCTTGAGGTGCTCTTTTTATATAGCATCCTGTATGTTTGCTTAATAAATGTTGATTACATGTGTGAATGTATAATATTGATCTATAAGAAAACTATCATCTCCAATTTCTTGATCAGACATGTACTAGATCTTTGGTATCACTAGAATCAGTGTGAAACACACAAAAGAATGAATATAGCTGAGGACTAGAGGATGTCTTATATTGAGAATGTAGCAATTTCAAATGTATGTGTCTGAGCCAAAATCAGCTTAATTCTGAGTACTGTGTTTGGCTTTGTGTTACATGAGGTCTGTGTTGATAACCTCGTGAAGACTGTACCTAGAATGGATATCTGAACTTGGCAGGCACAGAGGAGGCTAAGCTGGCAGAATTCTCTGCTAGTTCTGTAGCCACCACTCTCTGCAACATAACCTGGGTCCCAGGCCTCACATTCTCTGAACTAGAGATGAAGAATTAACTGTGCCTTTCTAATGATGGGGTCAGAATGAGAAAGAGAGGAAGTCCACTATTGTTTTCTATTTCTCTCGAATATGCAGTCTGTGCTTAGAAAGTATATGTAGAGAGAGCAATGTGTTCTGGTTCGTGATTTATGGTTTCTTTCTTATGGTGTTTCCTGAACGGTAGTTGGCAACATTTGATAATAGGTAGAATGTGTTTATAACTGCTCAGAGCTTCTTTTGCCATAAAACATAACAGTGTTCAAGGTAGGTTCCACTTCATTGTATTGGGTAAGACACCATCTCCCTTTGGATCAACAGTGACACAAAAGCATTATCTCCCTGTTTTCTCCCTGCCTTTTTTTTTTTTTTATCTTGATTGGCATTATTCCAGAGATAGTAACTGTA